AAATTGTTGACTGGTCTCATGTCCATAGTAATGCAACTACGCATACAGCTATTTCAAAAAACGTCGGGGAGAACGGCGAACGGCAATTGTCGAAGGGAGATTGCACGACCGAAAGGGACTATGGTTACACTGTTTTGATAAACAAAATTTCCCTTATTGGATTCACCTTGCATAGAAATGGAGACTAAATGTACCCAGTGTTTACCACAGACCATCTTACAGTACAAATCAATTGTTATTGCCTTTCAACAGGCAACACCCATGACTACTTTCGGTCGTGCAATCGCCGTTCGACCATTGACAATCGCAATTTTATCCGCCACAACCTTTTTTGAAATAGCTATATATATTTCCAGGATTTTGTGTGAAGTCATCAGTGGTCTTTCTAATGTCCCTCTATCTCAAGTTCTGTAAAAGTGACAACCAAAAAGCTCTAGATCTTCTGCTATCACATGATGTGTCTAGCTTTTACGGACATTATCTACAGGGTAAGGAACTCCTTCTTTCTTAAAGAATCGTAACCAACCACAATGCAGCGCGCGCTTGTTTTATTGTTTACATACGGTTAAATACGTCAAGCATACAATAGAAGATTGATAGCTGTGATGTACGTAGTAAAGGTATTTCTGTCCAAACTGAAAGRATGGTAGACGATTCGCGCTCACTTTAAGAAATCCTACGAATCTGACATTTTCGTGTCCGCTTCAAATGGCGCTTTGGCTCGCAAAGTACGGCGGTTGGTTCATGATTCTTAATAATTTTTACGTTTATTTTACTTAACTATTTCTCAATAAATCAATGTACATTTTCTGGTATTTCTACCACTAAAGGTGAAAAAATACTGCAGCAATATTGCATTTTCTTTGACAGGTTGGTTATTTTATGAAAACATGAAGTTAGACGAATCGATGAACAGCCTTAATCTGTGCATAAACATGATGGACGTTACAGACTGCTCCAAAGCTGCTGCATTGTGTATGGCTGGCTGTTGTTTAGCCAAAAAGGTAAAGTTTAAGTGTTGCAACACGAAAGCATACAAAAACAGTACCCAAAATGAAACGCCTAACAGTAAGTCTCGTTAACCATTTTGATCTTTGAAAATCGAAAAAGGATATCGTCAAAAACTAGTCACACGTAATCTCAAATAGAAGGCTGCTTGCCAGCGCTAGCTGATAGTCGCGGCCACAGTGAAAGTTTTTTAACACTTTAAAAACTGTTGCAACACGAAAGCAAACGGAAATACTGACCTATGAAATATCTACATTTAACAGCAAAAGTCTATATTCTTTGAAAATCGTTAAAAAAGTGGCAAAAACTAGACACACGACATCCCAAACAAGGTTTTTCACAATCTGCCCGGTCCGACGATATCCTGAAGCTAGGCTGCGAGCAAAGTTGCATAAAATACAAATGAAAAAAATAAAAATGTTATTTACCGGCTATAGGTTGGTCCGTATAGGAAAACACTGCCCTCATTGAAAATTATGAAGTTGTCCTTCAGTAGCATGTTTTGTGTATGATAACATACAAGTAGACCATACGCTAATGTGATAGTTGTTTTAATTTTTCTCGAGCTTTCGCTGGACACCAGCATCATCGGGAGACTGAATATTTACAGTAAATTAATGCACATATAAGTTACGTTCTGACCTGATACTACTAGAAGCCGCACACACTCGCAATAAGAAACCCCAAATTAATTCACGCAACGAATGTTTAGAACTAAGAGATCTATTGTTCTAGTTCGCCTATGTTGCTATCTATAGCCCATGTATAACCTCCACGCACCAGTGGCTTAGAACGTAACTTATATGTGCATTAATTTACTGTAAATATTCAGTCTCCCGATGATGCTGGTGTCCAGCGAAAGCTCGAGAAAAATTATAACAACTATCGCAGTAGCGTATGGTCTACTTGTATGTTATCTTACACTGCCTTCGTTCTTTTATGTACGGACCTCGCTGCGCACGTTCCGTACTGTCAAGACCTCGGGACCTCGGACCTCCCAGCCGGTAAATAACATATATATTCACAGTAGCAGTCACAGTCAGTCACAGACACAATCATAGTCTCAGGAACTGTCAGAGTCAGTCACAGACATAGTCACAGTCACAGACTCAGTCATAGTCGCAGTCGCGATCATAGTCACAGTCAGTCACAGCCACATTCAGTCAATGTCAATGTCACAGAAATAGTAATTAGTCAATAGTCACTTTTCTAACACCATGATATCCCTTTTACATCCCATAATTTCAACGGAATTCAAGATGGCAGACTTCTTGATTACATTTTGTCTATAAAATCTGATGTTTCATTTGATAGGACAAGCCTAATATGGCGATTGCTAAGCTTAAAGAGGCCTTGTCATTTGACTTTGATCATCTTGATGCTTTGTTTCACATTGCTCAACAACAACAAAAACTCGAGGAATATGATGGCGAGATGAAAAGCTTGCACTATCTCTGTGAGGTAAGGACAGAAGTTATACCTTGCTATGTTGTTTCTGTAGCCTGGTCTACATTTGGTTGGGAATAATTTAACACTGAGGACAATATGCACTGAACTTCTGACCTTTATTCTTCTACAATCTGAACGCACACTTCACTGACTTCTAAGGTTCCTTTACTTCATTTGCGTGAGTTGCGAGAGTGCGAGTGTGCGTGGTTCAAATTTAGTTGCAATTTCCAGGTTAAAAAAGGTCAAAGGGCTTGCCCTAACTTGCCCAACAGAAAACTTTTCTCTTGACTGCGGTAACTAAGTACGCGTCATAGTGACGTCAATATACTAATATGGCAACACAGCCGAAAATATATGTAAATTCAAGATGGCTGCTCGTAAACATGTTTTTTGTACTAAAAAGAATTCTACTTTGAAGTGATTAAACTTGTCTGAAAGGTAAACTAAATGTACAAATTGTTGCCTAACAGTTTCTATTGCAGAGTCTTGATAGAGCGCATGATTTACTATAACTTGATTTGAACTGAAGCAGTTTTGTAGCAAGAAAGTAGAGAAATTCGCAAAATATTTTGTCTTCTACAGTTTAATAGCAAAATTGTGAAATAGCTAATTTTTTAAATAATTTTAGAATTAATAGTTAATAACCAATTTTTTACAAGTATTTTTGCACTATTGGAGGATTATATCCCTCATCAAGCGTTGTTAAGCAAATAGACAATGTGTAGCGACGTCATTTCGTGCAGCAAAGCATGATGGTAGTTGTAGTCCGCGTAATTATTTTAGACCCTAAAATATTTCCCTAAGAGCCATTTTTACATTTTCTTAGTAGAAACGGTAAAGTTAATTCTATTTTTATAGGAGGACTGTTGTAGCGGACATAAAAAAAGTGCGAGTACTACAACTACCATCATACTCCGTCGCACAATATGGCGTCCCTGCACATTGACTAGTGTTGAACGTATTTTATCTCTTTTCAGGCTTTAGAAACACAAAATAAAAGCAAYAGTATTCCCATATGCGCAACTTCATTGCTTCAAGGGCCGTTTATCCCTTTTGTGAAAAGTTTATATGGAAAAACGATTTCGCTTGAATACGCACGTTACTGGCTTGGAAAACGTTGTCTACAATTACACAGGTAAACCAAATATTTTTTTTGTGCCTTGAGGGAGGGGTTAAATGATTAATCATAAATAAAGCACCATACGTATTTTTTTAATAATTTAAGGTTTTCTGAAGCCTCTGATGCCCTTATTGACGTCGTTGCAGCGGTGACATCAGACAAGTTTCAGGTAGTAATCGTCACGTATCCCTTCACCAAACATTAATTCTTCGTTTTCAAGTTACGTCACAGCGGCCATCTTTGAGGAACTTTAAAAGTTCCTATGACGTCTGACACAATAATTTCTAATTCTCTGTAAGCTGATTCTATATAAAGTAAATAATTGAATGGTGAAATATTCCTGCGTTTCAGTATCGCGTTTTTGAGTTTTGAAGGTTAAATCTTACAATATGCTAATGATAATGACATCAAAGGAGGCTCACTCCGTCAAACATACATGTCTAGTAGTTTAGAATTGCGTCAAGAAATAGTCCCTTAAGCGTTTTTTGTTTTATCAGGCATCAGTTTCTGATAACACGCTACCATCTTCCGTATATCTTTACCGTGACTGTGCATTCGCGATGCTCAAAGCCAATAAGACTAAAGAATGTGTTACGCTTTGTGATCATGGGATCAAAGTTCTAGAGGATGTAGATTGCGTAACGGCGACAAAAGATAGAGGTAGGTAGTTGGTTTTAGGTATTTGGGCGTTTTGGAAGTACAAAAAAAGGCTTAAAAAGGGTTTTCCTCCGCTTGAATGAACGTTCCCAGGTTGTCCACAATAGATGGTGATGAAGTGTCTTAATGACACGATAGACCGGAAGTAGCCTGGTTGGTTGGCTCATTGATTGATTATTGTCGTTTCCATAGCTACGCGATCAGTCCAGACAAAACTTCACAACTGCAATTAGTAACAGACAGCTGTCAATCAGTATTGCTTTGTCGCTAAGCGTCGGTTTGTTTGAGAGTTTTGATCGTCGGCAGTCTATTAGCCTGCAGGAACGCCTGTTAGCAGGCTAGCAGTCTATCGATAATAGACTTCTGAACCTTTTTACGTCACTACTTGATTTTCAATGCATTCTGGGATCAGTTTCTGGAGTAAACATAAGAAATCCGCCATGTTTTGTCCCAAATATATCCTACAATGCATTGCGTATGCGGTGCATGAAAAAAGCTTCAGAGGTTTATTGAACCTCGTGAATTTTGTCTGGGCTGTTCTTGTAGCAATGCTGATTCATTGTTTTATTGTTTGACTGACATATACAACGGTTGGTCGGTCGGTCGGTTGGTCGGTCGATTGATTGATTGACTCACAGTTAGACCCTCCATATATTGTTTTTTTTTTCTTTCTATAAGTTGGAAAGCGACAAAGACAAGCTATGGAATACACAGCAAACGCCATACTGGAGTTGATGTTGTGCAAGGCTTTCGCGATGTTGAGTCTTGGCCAACCGTTAATCTCTCTACAAATTCTACAAAGGTATGCCCTAACCTCCAATGAAGGCATGTTTATGTAGACCAAGTGCTTTGTGGTATTGATCTGAGATTGATACTTTCTCAAACTGAATTCACTGGAAAAAATCGCGCACTTTTTTAAAGTTGTGAATTTGATGTAAATATGATGTAAGTGTCCAGAATGATGTAAACTAGATGTAAATGTGATTTACATCAAATTTACAGAATTTTGGACACTTACATCATATTTACATCATATTTAAAACCTTTAAAGTGCGCAAGTTTTTCCAGTGATTATGGGGGATAAACTTTCTAGTTGTCGAGGATAATCACCATGAAACCTTGAAAGTTTGCCACGCGGCAGAAAACAAAGCTGGCATTTTTTTAATGCGGGAATTTAAATTCGTGCACAATCGCCTAATCATAGCTAAGTCTAGCTTAGTGATTGAAAATTGTTCAAGATAAATTCGCGACAAAATGGGTATATGATGTACATTGCGCATCGTATGACACCCACATATCCAACATTTTGAAGAGAATGGCCATTTGGCCATGGATCATGTATCTAGTAAAGTCCAATGGAAAGGTATTACAAATTTATTATTCAATTCATTATTGGATTTTTCATTTTATTTTTCGTTTTCAAACTTCAGTTGATTAATGCAAAATTAAATTCAAATCTCAAACTGTTATTTGGATAATGGTCTAAAAAGAAAACCCGCGCGACTTAACTTAGGGACTGTGCAATAATTACCAGGAGGGG